TGCATGAAAAGAATTGGGTTCTATAGGAAACTGTCCAATTTTCCTTGTTGGTTATATTTGTAGGACAAGGTGCATTGCTTTGGAACCATAATTCTGATGTGAATGTTGGAGTAGTTGGAGAATATGTTTGAATGCTTCGAAATGAGGTTATCGAAACATGGGCAGAACACAGGCGAATATGTTAAACCCAAGGGTGAGATCTGAGTTATAAACCCATAAGGGTTTAGATTCTATAGCAACAAATTTAAGCAACCAAAAAACAAAGAAAAAAAGAATTGAATTATGGGCAAGGAAGCTTAAACATTGTTAATTTGTTATATTATTTGAGTCAGGCAAATGATATGTGCATCATCAACCAGCAATTGGTGATATAAGTGTAAGAACCATAAATTTCAGTATTATATATATATATATATATATAAAGACAAGAAGAAATAGATGATGGAATTAAAGATACCGCAAGTTCTACAGCATCCAAAGCAGACTATTTAGCTTTGAGACCCGCGACGCCGATTTACAGGCAATAGCGGAGGGCCGATTGTCGTGGCTCCTGGTGTTTTAGAGGCAAAGTCCGTGGTATGTCGCCAGCGCCACCGTGTAAGGCAATTGCCCACCCCATTCCTACTCTCTCACTCCACTGGAGAGTGGGAATTAATCCCCTCTTTATCATGTATTTCAGAATGTCAAAAGTAATGCTTTTTAGAAATTCTCAAGACTTCTCTTTCAATTTTCTCTGATTTTTCTTGCAATTTCCAAAATTCAATTTGTGAGGAATTCAATCAAAGGAAGTTTCTTTATCTTAAAAATCTGCAACCGAGCCAATGCCTCGACTGTTCAAAAACATAAAGTATATATATATATATATAATTTCTCATAAATATAAGGTGTGTGTGTGTGTGTGTGTGTGTGTGTGTGTGTGTGTGTGTGTGTGTGTATATATATATATATATATTAAATATAATCTGAAATTATATATGCAAGGGTATTTTCGGCATTTCATGAAAAATAGGTGCTAACGTCATCATTTTTCGTCGTTGACTGGCGTTGACCGTAACGGAAGGGAGGTCCGTGTAGGATATTTTAAAAAGTAGGGGAAGTCCGCGTAATTTTTGGAACAGGAAGGGTGCCGCCTATACTTATGGCAAATCATATGGGAGGTTTGTGTAAATTATCCTTATTTAATTGAACAGATAAGTTACCTTTGGATATCCTATATCTACCTAATTAAAAAATAAATACAACCCCTTAATTTTCATTTAATCACTTGAAAATCAATTCCCTTTGGAGAATTATTTCTCATAATTAAATAAACTCAATATTCATGAATATCACAAAAAATCATAAGCATCATAATTCATAAACTATTACAATTATGTTTACTACTAAAATTAATATTCATCAACTATTATGGTTAGGCCACTTTGGCAGCTACCAACCTTTACATAATATGAATATTAAATTAGCTAGTGACTAATTCATCATTAATCATGTTTACTACTAAAATTAATATTCATCAATTATTATGGTTGGACCACTTTGGTAACTTTCAATTTTCACATAATATAAATATTAAATTAGACAGTAATTAATTCATCATTAAGTTACACATTTAACATTATACACACATACTCATACTGATCGATCTAAATTTAAGTAGGTTCTCAAATATCAGTTTACTTTATGTACATAACAACATATATTTTTTTTATTTTCGGACTTGAAGATCATAATTGAATCAATTTAAAATTGATTCTCAAGTATGTATGTATGTATGGGTATAAAACAATAATTATTTGCATGTCCAATAACATTAAATTAAAATTTTAGACTTACGCATTATTCTAAAAATATAAATTTCTTTAATAAAATAAATAAATACACATACTTTATTTATTTAATATATTATTAATTTTAAGATAATTAATAACATATAATCTGTAATCAACTATAATAATTAATATACAAATTGATTTCATGAAAACAGTAACAAAAAGAATAGCTACTAAAAGTTTTCAAATCAAATTGTTATTTCCATCACGCACTGAAATAAAAAGGCAAATACATAAATTGGCATATTGTTTGTCTTATTATTTTACATATGCATACATGTGTCATTAATTAATTTTTAAGCAATTCAATTATGTTCAGAAATCAAGGTTTCCAAACCCAAATAACACACTGATCCAAAATATTAGAAGTAATAAAATTTTCCATATAATATATAAACAGATATATATATATACGTGCACCGATTTTATAAAATTAAAGCATACAATTATTTAATTTTAATTTAAACTTATGCAACATTAATGAAAAATAATGAGTTCATAAACTGTAACCTCTGATACCACATGTAAACTATAATTTATTCGTGCAAATTATTCATCACAAATAAACATAAATCCCAAATCTTAGAACTCCATTATTCTTACATACCTATAATGCATAAATAAATATAGTTAAATATAAATTCATCGATTTGTGATTGCACATGTCGTAGGGATCAAGTCCAACGTCGAGATCCTTTCTGCGGAATGAACAACATGATAAACTGCAATAACCACAGCGTGGAAACCGATTTCTCTCTCTTGCCCTTTTGTACACATAAACATTATACGTGTTGCAAGAGTGGACACAAGGGTGGGTTGTAGCCCACCCCAAAAAAATAAATAAATAAATTACTATATATACTAATATATTAGCCCAACCCAAAAAATAAAATAAAAAATTAATAGTATTAGCCCACCCCAAAAACCCAATGAAGCCCAATTCAACTCAGCCACCATACTAAAATAAAGGCCCAAACCAAATAACCCCATGGATAGGCACCAGAATAAATAAATAAAATAAAAATTTAGGACAAATCATTTCAGGCTTTTCAGCCTCCCACGTTCGGCTCCCTCAGATTTTTGGGCAAATCATTTCAAATTTTCAGGCTTTTGTTTTCACCCTCCCACGGTCCCATGCACCCAACAAATTGGAATTGTTTTCATGATTCATCACTTCAGACTCTAAGTATAAAGCACAAGTGCACGATCAATTGATATTCAAGGTAAGTCATAATTCATTTCTTCAATTATTCAATATATATATGTATATATATTATTCCATATTTTTTCTTAACAAAATTACATAATATAGGGTTTGGTTAATTGGTTGATATATTTTGATTTAGGTAAATTACTTAAAAATTTAAAATTATTTGTTTTGCAAACTTAATATAGGTCAACAAATTGAATTAAATCACACAATTTGTAATTGGATCTCCCTATGCAGAAATTACTGAAGGCCAACAAATTGGAATTGCTTTCATCACTTCAGACTCTAAGTATAAAGCACAAGTGCACAACAAATTGGATCAATTGATATTCAAGGTAAGTCATTTCTTCAATTATTATTATTATTATTATTATTATTATTATTATTATTATATATATATTTTATTCCAAATTTTTTCTTAACAAAATTACTTAATATAGGGTTTGGTTAATTGGTTGATATATTTTGATTTAGGTAAATTACTTAAAAATTTAAAATTACTTGTTTTGTAAACTAAAAAGTCTAAAATAGAATTAAACAACAGCACTTATGTTAATTTGGAAAAAGCAGACAAGCAGTGATACTGTGATAGAATATCAAAAAGTAGAAACTACACAAGCAGTGATAGAATGTTAAAAAGTAGAAACTGCAGTCTACAGCTGTCAGCTAGTCTTAGCATGGTATTGGTTGATATATTTCGATTTAGGTATTTTTCATCTAACTCATTCTTTAATTTTATTAAGTTAAATAATAATGGCTCAACATCAACCTCTAAATAAGAAAGTGAAAAGTATGTCTGTTCTCTCATTCTATCAAAAGAGAGGCCAAATGAGTAACGATGGTCAATCGAAAAATGATATACCTAGTGGTAGTGCATCTAACATTGATGATGATCAATCGAAAAATGATATACCTAGTGATCTTGATTTGCAACCTCCTGCCCTACCTCAAGTTGTTAAACCCAATCAACTTCACTCCACTTCTATTGAAAGAGATCCTGGGTTACGTATTCAAATACATGAATACCCTGTAAATTAAATTTATGAGGTTATACAAGCTTATATCAATTTGGGGCCTTATCAATCTAAACTTTCCAATTATCCTATCTTCAGATGGAAAGCAGAATCAACGATTTAAGTATAAATGGTTCAAGCAATTTCCTTGGCTAGAGTATTCTCCTTCAAAAGATAGAGTATATTGTTTTCCATACTTTCTCTTTGAAAATACGGTGGCGATTCGTTCTTCACTTGTAGTTGGTGGATTTAGCAGTTGGAAGAGAGTTAATGATGGAAAAAATTGTGTATTCTTGAAACACATGGGACTTCAATCCTCACCACATACAAAATGTGCCATGCTTTATGGGAATTTCAAGAAATCGGCACAACATATTGATAAAATGTTGAATGCCCAATCAAGAGATGAGGTTTTGAAGAATCGAATGCGGCTTAAAACAACTATTGAAATCGTTCGGTTGCTAGCATTGCAAGGAATTGGTTTTAAAGGCCATGATGAAAGTTCAAGTTCATTAAATCGAGAGAATTTTATTGAATGTTAAAGTACAAAGCGGAAGGAAATGATGAACTTTCAAGTGTTATCTTAGACAATGCTCCACAAAATGCCCAATATATACATTGCTCCATCAATTCAAAAAGAGATTCTTCATATTCTTGCAAACAGAGCGAGAAAAATGATTTGTGATGAAATTACAGGAGGCAAATATTATATTCTTTTTGATGAAGCATAAGATAAGTCTAATACAAAGCAATTGGCTCTTGTTTTAAGATATGTGAAGCATGATGGCTTAGTAATGGAATGTTTTTTTGCCATTGTGGGAGTTGAAAACACATCAGCATGAAAACACATCAGCAGTTACGCTTAAGGATGCACTATATGTTATTCTTGGTCGGTTTGATCTTTCAATTCAAAATTTGAGAGGTTAAGGGTACAATGGTGCTAGTAATATGCGCGGCGAATGGAATGGACTACAAGCATTATTTCTTAAAGATTTCCCATTTGCTTATTATGTCTATTGTTTTGCTCATCGATTACAACTAGCATTAGTTGCAGCAGCAAAAGATAAGATGAATATTTGGCAATTCTTCTCTCACCTAACTTGTATTGTCAATCTTATTGCTTCCTCTCCTAAGCGTCTTGTTGAATTAAAATCTTTTCAAAGGGATGAGATTGCATGTATGTTAAGCACAGGTGAACGTGAATCTGGTAAAGGGGCTAATCAGATTGGCACCTTACATCGAGCTAGAGCTAATCGTTGGAGCTCACACTATGATTCTATGAAGGATTTGATTTGTATGTATACAGCATCCTGCAGAGTTGTTAAAGTCTTAGAAACGGTGGACAAAGTCAATAGATGTGTGGGCAAGCTTCAGGTGTTTACAAGGTAATAAGAAACTTTGAATTCAAATTAATTTTACACCTAATGGATAACATTATGAGATTCACTGACACATTTTGCTAGGCCTTGCAATGCAAATCTCAAGAAATTCTAAATGCTTTGAAATTAGTCTCATCGACTAAAAATCTCCTTCAAAAATTCAGAGAAGATGATTGGGATATTTTTCTTGCCAATGTGGTGTCATTTTGCAATCGACATAACATTGATATACCTGATTTGAGTTCTCGTTATGTAGAGGGTACAGGTCGTCATTGTCAGCAACAAGATCATATTACAGTTGAGCACCATTATCACTTTGACATTTTTAACTCTGCAATAGATTTACAATTGATGAAGTTAGAACATAGATTCAACAATGAAGTAAAGGAACTTCTTACTCTTAGCTCAGCTTTGGATCCTAGTGATTCTTTTAAATCTTTTAACGTGGAAAAGATATGCAATCTTGCTGAGAAATTCTATCCTTGGGACTTCACTGACCAAGATGTTAAAACATTAAAGTTTCAGTTGATCCATTATCAACTTGAAGTATCTAGTGATACCGAGTTTCAGAATATTTCTTCTCTTACTGATTTAAGTCAGGAACTGGTTGTAAGCAAGAAGTTTGAGTACTACCCTTTGGTTGACAGATTGATCCGTCTTGTGTTGATTCTTCCTGTTTCTACAGCAACTGCGGAGAAAACATTTTCAAGCATGAAACGTGTTAAAACAGCGATGCGTAGTATGATTGGAGATGAATTTCTTGCTAGCTACATGACCATCAATCTTGAACGGGAGCTAGTTTGGAAAATTGACTTGGAGTCTATTATTGACGAATTCGAGTCTTTAAAGACTCGTCGAGCACAACTTAGATAGATATTTTGTAATCTTTGAATTTAAATATTTATCTATATTATGTTATAATTTTTTCTTTTTTCTTTTTTCTTTTTTTGCTTAAGAAATTTTGTTATTAAATTTATGTTTAATATTAGCCCACCCCAAAGAGAAATCCTAGATCCGCCCTTGACGTGTTGTTTTCATTAACGTACATAAATGATGGGATATATGCACTTTTATAAAGGCAGAGAGAGAACTAATTTTCCTTTTTAGTAACCTTAATTTAACTTTCCATCAAAGTAAGAAATAAATAGGAAAACACTTCTCTAATAATTAATTACTATAAAGGTAATTTATAAGTTGACCAAATAATATAATTTTAATCTGATATCTATTTACTTAACCACTAATTAATGAAATATTTCATATGTTTAAATCATGTGGGTCACACAATTAATAAATAATCTTACCGGTTGGGGAGGGTTGCTTTTGATCATCTCATTTTGAACCAAATCTTCATATGCTGAGAATAATGGACAGTTGGAAGAAGATGAAAAAATGTAATAATTATTAAATCTTACCATGTTGCCATTTTGGTGCATGACAGATAAATCCGAGCATAGAACATCTGGTGTGAAAACTTCATTGATATCAATGTCCATCAGAAAGTTTAAAGAAGCATCTTATTAAGGTGCCGGGTTTTCGCCTTGATAGATCAAGTTTTTGTTTCCAGTTGTAGCTGATTTTGTTCAGGTGGGATGAAAGTTGTATTGCAACCAATATTCACTTGAGGAATATTTCCCGCCACTTCCAATTCTTCATTATTTGGCTTCTCTTCAGATTTGAGCGGTTTGATGGAGGACTTTGATGTTTGGCCATGCAATTTCTTCGCCAAGTTCGTGTTCCAGTAGTTTTTGATTTCATTATCTGTTCGACCTGGAAGTCGTCCAGCTATCAAAGCCCACCTGGGCGAAAAATAAACAAAGAGATGAATGAAATGAAATATATATGTGTGTGTGTGTGTGTGTGTGTGTGTGTGTGTGTGTGTTAGGATATGTGTGCCCTAGCATAGCAAATTCTAATTTTGGATTGTAAAAGTCATGATTTCTTATCTGGATATTATTATTAAAGCATTATACAATTGGTGAATGGAATGTATTATTTTTCGATTCTTTATGGAATTGATGGTGTCTACTTGATTACAAAATATATTTATATATGTATGTAATGGCAATTAATACTATGATATAAATTAATAATCATAAATGGTTTAAAGTCGGTAATTATGGATAGACATTTAATTAGTTAAGACTTAAACCGAGTCCACGATAGATTGAGATATATTGCGAGAGCTGTCGTATGCAATTGCTCTCTATCACAGTCATGGCTTTTGACTCTCAAGCATGAGTGAAATATAGACTCTTTTATTAATTAATAATTACTTTGATTTGTTCGGCGGATACCTCGGGATCCTTAGATCGACACTTTGGGTAGTTATGTAATTAATAATTAGAGGTCTATATTCTCAATATTTGCATCAGTGCTATTTGTATTTATTTTATTTTGATTATGGTTGATCACAAATTAAATTCGAAGGCATTCGTATGTTTTAGACAAATGTTTTCTATATATATTTATTTAATAAATTATTATTATTTTTTGTCAAATAAATATTTTATTGTGATCAAGCCGGAAATAATCAAAGGTAACAAAATAATTATATTAATTATGTTGTCGGATTGATGGCTTTAATTATCCGATAAATAATTAAGCATAGAGGGGTCAAAGTGCAACATTGACTTAGAGGTTATTTACTATTTAATTGGAGTGCAATTAATTTCTTTTAGTGGAGTAGAAATTAATTTATGAATTAATTGAATTGGGTCCATGGTTTAATGGACCGGACCAATTATTAATTTATAGGAGCCAAGAAAATAGTAAGCCCAAAAGGATTCTCACCAATAGCCCAAGTTGATATTGGAGTCATGTTAGGATTGAGAAAGTTGAATTAGAGATGGAGAATGATTTATTGTTTCCTTATTCTTATTTTTATTTTGCCTATATATACATGAGTTCATGTATATTCTAGGTGTGACTTTGAAAACAAGAAAAAAGAATACACTTTCTCTCTCTAGATTTTAGGATTTTGTTTTCTCTTCTAAAGGAGGCTACCACCAGCCTAGATTCCAAGGTCATTCATCAAGGCATATTGGTGATTCCTAAAGGGAAGATAATAATCAAAAAGAAGGAGAAATGATCTTGCTAAAGGGATCTACAATAAGTGAGAACATTCACTTTAGAGGAAAGTTCAAAAGGTTTACTCAGACCTTTGATGTAAGTATTCAATCTGTTTATTGAATTATGCATCATCTTTTATTTATCTTTGTATAAAACTTGTCTCTATGTAATGAATCAAGATCCATGATTGCAAATTCCTCAAAAGTTTTAAAAACTTGCACGTTTCCCAACAGTGGTATCAGAACACATGGTTTGATTCATTACTAGAGAACATGTGTTTATAAAAATCACATTCATGGATCCAAATTATATATACATATATAAAATTATTGATATATGTTGATGTATGATTTATTATGTTGATATATATTAATACATGATGATGTATGTATAATTGTGAATGGATGATAATGTGTGTTTGGGCCATGGATGAAGCTTATAGGTATATAGATTGTAATTTTATTTTTAGATGAATGTAATTAAGGCTTTGTTTTAGCCGTTTGAAAATTCAATGATGTAATTTAATTTTTTCCATTGTATTTCAAATTGTAAGTATTTATTAAAGCCTTGTAATATTCATTAAAGGATGCTATGAAGCTTCAAGAGGGTCCGAAAGGGTTAAATTATGCTTCAGTAATTTTCTGAAATTTTTCTGAATTTTTCAAAAAAATTCTGAAATTTTTTTGAGGCTTAATTTAATTTTCTGGAATTTTTCGAATTTTTTGGAATTTTTTCGGCGTTTTTCCGGTGGCCGGAGCTTCGCCGGCAACGAGAAGGGGCGTCGGAGTGTGGCACAGGTAGGTAAGCCTGGTGCGTGTTCTTCATGCGCCAGGAAGTGGCAAGGAGAGGACAAGTTGGCGCGTGGATCTCACGCGCCAGCCAAAGGTGTGTCACCCTCCACGTGCGTGAAGGCACATCCCACGCGCTCCAAGCGCGTGAGGGCACATCCCACGCGCCCCAAGCGCGTGCCGGCGCGTGGGAGTACGTGCAGCATGCCCTAGGCGCGTGCCAGTGCGTGTAGGGTCCTCCGGGCTCGTTCCAAGCGGCGTTTTGCTTCTCCTGACGCGTACAAGCTTCCTATAGGTGTTTACAAACAGTTAAAGGACGCTCGTACAGCAAAAATAGTTTTTAAATGTTAAAAGCTGAATCCATTAGCCTTTTATATTGCTTCTGTTTATTATTTGATGCATGGAATAATTTAATGCTTATTATAATTGTTCATGCATTGGATCCATGATTTTTAACTAAATGGCTTGATTTATATTAATTAAATTATGAAGATAAATTGGATTTGATTGCTAATTAATTTGAGGGCATTTATTGGGAAACAGAAAAATTATTTTTGTAAATTATTTTTTGCCTCAAATTAAATATTAGTGAATCATTTAAAATCCATATATTTTCTAAATTTAATTGGATTAAAATCAAGGCGTTTTGCATGCATTAAATCATGAATTGAAAACCCTAGTTTTATATTATTAAAAGTTGAGTGGGAGCGGGGATTTTTATACATTACCCCATGGCCTTCGTAATTATAATCATTGTGATTAGATCTTTAAAAATAAGGCTCCACGCATGATTTAAAGAGTCTAGATTACAAGAATGGTTGTCTCACGAAAATATATTTATTAAATAACCATTATAGTTAGATCTTTAAAAATAAGGCCCTACGCATGATTTAAAGAGTCTAAGCTATTAATGGCAATATATTTAATATTTGTTTTTCTGTTGGAGCATTAATTATGTTATACACTCAATCTAAAATCAATAGTATTAGCTCCCCAACGGAGTGGTCTATACTAGGTGATTTTAGAAAGGCTAAATCTAATCGGGAATTATTTCATATATAGATAAGGCATTGTCTAAAGAGATATGGAAATAATGAGTTGTTCTCGTCAATAAGTAATAATGAATTCCGCCAACCGGATAAGTTATTGGCATATTGATTGTCCGATTTTTCATGCAATGTGGTTTAGGGACCCACAATTAATTAATTATTTTATACTTGCATGATTATTATTATTCACTTTATTTATTGTATGACTGCTTTTATTTTCAGATTTATCATGACTAGCTAATTATATCGATTGGAAAAGACAACTAGATATTGTACTCACATATGAGGGGTTGAATTATGTACTTACTACTCCTAGACCTTCTCCACCTTTGCCTGAGGATCCTCCTGAGGAGCATGAAGTTTTTAAGAAATGGAATAAAGCAAATGAGATGACTAGGTGCTACATTCTTGCTTCACTCTCGAATGTACTCCAAAGTCAACATCTTCAATATCTCACTTCTGCAAACATCATGCTTAACCTTAAGGAAATGTTTGGGCAAATTGGTAAGAGTGCACGCCAAAATGCTATGACAAATTTGATGACCATTAAGATGGTCCAAGGTACTTCAGTTCGGGAACATGCTTTAAAAATGATTGGTTTTTTAAATGAACTGGAGATCCTTGGATGCAACTTGGATGGTGAACTTCAGGTTGACATGATTATCACTTCATTGCCAGACTCATTTAACTCTTTTAGGGTTAATTATTATATGAATAAGCTTGAGTACACACTCGCTGAACTATTGAATGAGTTGGTAACCTTTGAAGGGATAAACAAAAGCAAGGGTGCATCTATCAACTACACTCAGTCTGCTGGACCATCCACTTCTAGGCCCAAGAGGAGGGGCAAGAAAAATAAGAAGGATGGTGCCAAAACTGTGGTTGTGCCAAATAAAGTAATCCAAAAGGATAAGGGAAAGAAGAAAGTGCGGGTTGAAGGCGAAGGAAACTGCTTCCATTGCGG